ACAAATATAAAATTCAATCCTAGGAAGAGAAGCAACAGAAGCAATATAGCATCACCAAGAGTAATTGAAATCCGAGAAGGCAAGAACCAAAGAATCAGTGGCACCTCGGGTCAGATACATAGGACACACATATTGTGTGCGCGGGCGTTATGAAGATGCATAAGCTATATGTGTCATATATGTTGTGTGTGCGGTATGAGATTATAGATGCGCGCTTCACACTTTCTGGTGTAGATTGATAGCTTAATCTACTTTAAGGATTATTTTAATTTCACGATTTTTTTTATTTATAAAAATCATTGATCCATTGTGTATGAGAATATAAAACCATTGAAAATTTAATTTATACAAGGGCTTCACTATCGACTTATCTGATAAACATTTTTCACTTACTTTCAAACTTTGGTTGAAGACCAACATTGCAAAATCCTTCACAGACGCTTTGAAGCTTTGCATAAGCCGTCGAACCACAAGCGGGCTAATAGCAGTAACATATTGCCATGCATAAAGTGGATCCTCATCAACCACCTAAGTCATATTTTCTTATATTCAAACAATAATAGATCATTTTAGTAGAGTATGATCTAAAACCAACAAATATAATTGTCAAAATACAAACCTGAAAGAAGATATAAATAGAATTCCCTCATAGAACCGAACATATATGGACCAATATTCTTGACCTTGAAAGTTATTGGCGGTTTCTAAATGGAGATCAACCTTTACAACAACAAATTTAATTTATTAGTATTGAAAATGAAAAAAAATAATGTGAAAGTACAATAGTATTTATACTAAATAAAAGAGACTATGGTGTTTCTTAGGCTATCCACCTAAGCAAAAAAAACTCTTTTCCACAATGTCACATGGTATCACTTTCTTAAAGTTGAAAATTTTTTAAAAAAATAACAAGTTGAAAACCATAATTAGCCGGCTTATCATAGTAAGTACTACCAATTATTTAAATAAATACTAAATATCTACTTACAACTTTAAAAATTAAATGCACAGATGGACTAATAATAATCCAACTTCTTCTTCTAGATGGACTCCATAAAAAGGAGAGGCAATTGAACGTTCAGGATCCCAATTTTAATTACCACATCATTGACGACACATCGGTTTACCACATTTATCTCCCCATCTGTCTGATAATTTACAGAATTTCTATCACTATCATTTTTTTTTAAATATACAATAATCACTTCTATGAAAAAAAAAATTAAACTACAAACGGAAGAATACATAAAATACAAATGACTATCTTATAATATAGTCCACCTTCAAAAACAAACCACAAAACAAAATCTAAATCTATCTATTATGACTACTACCTTCATACAATCAAACGAAAAACAAACCAACTACTTTGTTACACACCGTCCATATACCTTACCAAAACGGAAACCAAACTAAAATAAACAATAACTTATATGTACTAATTACTAATTACACAAATTAAAGAGCCAATAAATTCCTAACCTGACAAACGAAATTCGAAACAGCATAGCAATAACAAATACCTCCTATAAATAGTAAAATGGTTTAATCAAAATATGATTCGCCAAATATATTACACACAGCAAACAAAATGGCTGACCCACAACGTGTAAGCAACTCTTTCTCATATGCAACAAGGGCCGATGATACCGACACATCAAGCAAAATTTATCTCCTTATCAAACGACCACTCACACAACAAAGTGACATATCATCTACAACAATAAGAAGAAACATAGAATTTCTACTAACGTATCACAAAATTGGAGAGACGGACGCTTTAAGAATGGCAAACTATTTACCTGATTCATCGCTGCAGTGCTAATATCAACATACAGTCAAAGAGGTACGGCCATTGATATATATTTTACAGTTACAGATAACAATTTCTAGGCTACATCCAGGATCGACACAAACATTCTCATCGCCACTTTGGATAGTGAAAAAAATTATGTGATTGTTGAGGAGGAAACAGATGAATGCTCAATCTGTCTACAGACATTGAAAGGAAGAAACGATATAAACCAACTAGCATGTACTCACTTACTCCACCATGAATGTATTGTCACTTAGTTGTATTCAAAGAAAAATTGCCCAATATGTAGGGCAAGTGATCTTTAAATACATCTCCGAAGACGCTAATCATCTTTATACATCTTCTCTACTCTTCTCCTTTATACTCATCTGATCTCTTTGAATGCCTATATGCTGCAATCACATATTTTTTAAAAAAATTTGCACGTATAAGAGATGTACACACAACACCTATACAATGATATAAACAAAAACCCCACATTCAAAGCTTTTTTGTGTACAGTTTGTCTTCACTAATTACACGGAATAATATGTTTCAGGCTTTCACAAGCCGTCGTGATGTCCTTAACGGGTATTTTCTGTGCATAAAGATATTTACTCCCTTCTCACCATGACCTCCATAAATTATTTAAGGAGGAACAACACAAATACAATCCAAGCCCGGTATAAACAAAGTAATATAAGGCCCATATGTCAATTTGGTCACGTCAAATTCAGATCATGATTTCAATTATAGAGCATCATGCAGAAAAACTCTTTTTACCAAAGACTAAGAAATATCAACAGACTGTTAAGTACATTACTCATAAAATAAAAACAAATATCCGAATTTCTTTAAACCGACACCACAATATACTGACAAAAAAAATAAAAAAACAATAAATAATTATAATTTTGAAACGTTATCTAACCAACTTCACAAAAGAAAATAAAATATTCACTCCCCAAATTAACATTCTCAAAACCCAACAAATAAATTCACAATAATCAATAATATTCACCCAGCGAAAATTATTCAATTACACTAAATAGCAAACCGTAATACGCAAACTACAAACAACATATAAAAATCATTAAACAGATCCGCTAAGAAACAGGAGTCAAAACCACAAAAAAAAAATATACCTATGCTAACTAGAAAAAAAAAACAAAGATGGGCTCTCAAACCAGAGAGAACACAACACATGCAAAAGTAATCACTTCTTCATAGTATAATATATATTAAGCTATAACACATACTAAATAAAGCAACATTTATCTTACCATTTTTCAGCCGGACTGGTGCAGCAACACAGGCCCGCAAAATACACAGATTTATCAAATTTATGTTTAAGAGCTTACGAAGGGAGAATCATTGTTCGCATTTTTTGCATCATAGAAACATTCGACCACACAAACGAAGATCAAATAATGGGATTCGTCTATCTACTCATTGATGCAAACGTAAGACATTAAGTTCCCTTATTAAAAATTTTCTTTTTACATATTTTCTTAAGTCATAACAATCCTCACAGGGTATAGTGATCGAGATGCATTTATCAATAATTGAACTGCAACAACATAAATTAAACGCGGGGTTGATATATGAGCTTTCCAAATTCATAGTTTTTGAAAATAATCTGAGATATAAATTCACTCCTCATCAACATGTCATTCGCTTCACCCGACAAACTACATTTCCCGAAGTGAAGGAAAATTTACCTCAGATACCTACCAACAAATTCTCCATCAAAAGCTACAAACAACTACTACAGATTGCGGGTACAAGAGACGAGCTACCAGGTAAAGCAATTTAATTAACAACATTTTCTTTCCCCAATTCAATATTTTTATGCTATAATTATCATAAAATTACACTTCCAAAATAATATTAGATGTCCTCGGGAACATCCGCATCATTCAAGGTTCTGATCTGAAAAACCAAAACTCAAAATCAACGGTTTTGGTAGGCTTACAGCTAAGCAGATACTTCATATACAGAAAAAAGAAGAAAAAAGAAAATTACTCACATATTTAATTTACAGGAACAATATTATCAGACTGTTAATATGTGATGCATAAGCAGCAAATTTCCGCCATACACTCAACATCAAAGACAAAAAGTATACAACCATGCTTATCACAAGCGTCAATCCAAAAATATACAAAGGTATTAACTTTGAAATATGTTATTTACAGATCATTTTTTAATTTATACAACTATATTTAACTACACAATTTAATACTCCAAAATAAATGCATGAAAACTACAGCTCCATTCTACTCCACTAACAAGGTTCTTCTTCACCCCCTCTATACACATCATATATTGAAGCTTTACGAAATTTTTTTGCAACATACAACATTAATTAATTAACGACCTCACACCAAAATCAAATCAACTACGATACATCTTCAATTTTGTTCAATAAAATTGCATTACTAAATAAATAATAAGTCTCATGCATCTACTTCCAAATTAATACACCGAACATCATTATCAACCTACCATACTTTATATATTTTACATTACTTATAGATAATTCAAAACTTTTATGCTGTTACCATGTTTTTTCCTTACTAAAATAATAAAAATAACACACATATAAAACAAATATAAATTATTTAAATCAAACAATACATAATAAATATAATTTAATCTAAATATTAGCTACTAATCTAATATCAATAATAAACTAATTGATTTAAATTACAATTAATTATCAAAATAAAATAATTACACATCCTACACGTAGCGCGGAGAAATCCCTAGTCTATCTAATCTATAGTTATCGTCAAATCTCCGATGCCATCATTAGCTCTTAACATCAATCGTAACGTTCCCCCGGAAAAAAAAAAAAAGTTATGTAGCCTATTTTTGTATTTCCCTTTAATTGTTTCATATTTCCTTTAATTGTTTCATAGTTACGGCGAAATATTTTCCTTTAATTGTTTCATGTTTCCTTTTCTAACAATTGTTTATGAACGTTATTAAAACACGGTTTACACAATCGCATTATATGAACAATTATTCGCCTTACTCTACCAAAAATAAAGATCGCATTAATATCTAAATTAGGGCTCATGGAATCGTAACATCTTTGGATGTCGGCAAAAGGGCACAACAACTCAATCAATCCATTGAAGATCGATAGTTTAAAGCGAGGAAATCGAAATTAGGGTTTTTCCGATTTTGGGAGATTCTGATGGGTAGCGTTACTTCCAAGGGAGATCACCACACCACTCCATTGTTGAATCTGTGTAAAGAGAGGAATGAAATGATCAGAGGAGCGAGAGACGCTCGTTACCACTTAGCGAAATCTCATCTTCTTTATTTTCGATCTCTTTTGGATTTCAGCACCGCTCTTACTCAGTTCGTGCATAAGGATCTGGTCGTGGTTCCGTTTTCTTCGGATGACGATTCGTCTAGTAGTGAGCTGGTTTGTTCGGAATCAGACTCCGACTCTTCCTCTTACTCTTCCTCTGAATCTGATTTTTTAGTCTGTGATGGATCTGAATCAGCTCCGTCGAGCAATCAGAATCCTCGAAAAGATCAAGCTTGCGGTTCAAGAAACAGTGCTGGAGAGGGTATGGAGAAGCCAAACGAAGGTTTAGGGTTTGTGGAGAAAGATTTCTCGAGTTCTCCAGTTGATGATGATAAGATGAGAGGTTCCGAGAACTCATCTTCTATCAATCGTCAGAACAGTTTTACCGGTCCGGATATATTCGGTTTGTACGAATTCGGAAACAACACGCAGAGCTTTTCTATTGAACCGGATCTGGATGAGAGTGATGAAACGAGAGAAATTAGGGAGAGAGAAGGGATTCCTGATTTGGAACCTGAAAATGATGATCATAATAATAGTCTTGTAAGGAAGAATCAAAAGAAGAAGAAGGTTAAAAGGTCTTCTTCTTCAACTGGTAAAGCTGATAAGAGAGAGATGAAGTTAAATGTTCCAGAGAGCTCTTCAACTGCTACAGGTAAGAGTGATAGTGAAGCAACCCCTTGTAATGGAGGAGATCAAGCTGCAGGGGAGGCTGATGAATCTAATGAATCTTGCGCGCAAGAGACGGAAACAACTCCAGAGATTGGTAATGAAGTGAGAAGATCAGATGAAGAAGTTTGTGACGAAGCCTGTGAGTCTTCTTCTTCTTCTTCTTCTTCTTCTTCTTTGGAATCATATGGTGCGGGCATCACTGATCTGAGGAATATAGTAGGAAAGATCAATTGTATATCCAAGGAAGCTGTGAGTTACAGTGAAGTCTCTGAGTTGCTTGAAGTGAGCAAAGTTGTTCAACATCAACCTTTAGGATCCCAACTCAAGGGATTTGCTTCAAGGGTACTTGGTAGTTCCGTGAGTTCGACTCGCGCTCGTGCTTTGCAGGCAAGGCGTGGTTTACGCGAGGAGAGCCTCGCTGTTTCGCTTTCCGTGACATTGGAGAAGCTTTGCATGTGGGAATCGAAGCTTTATGCGGAAGTTACAGTCGAAGAAAAGCTTAGGGTTTTGTATGACAAATGGTACCAGATTCTCAAGAGTCTTGATCAGAACGGAGCAGAGTCTAGCGACATATACGAGGCGGAATCTGTGCTTAAACTCCAGCTATCCAAGATTAATGTTTCGGTTAGAGCGGTTGAATCGGTTTCGATGAGGATTCATAAGATTAGAGACGAAGAGCTTTCGCTTCAGGTGATTGCGGTCATCAATGGATTCAAAGGAATGTGGAGATTCTTGGCGAAATGTCACCAAAAGCAGTTTCAGACGATGGCGAGAAGCAAGTCTTGTGTTCACATTGTTGAGGAAAGACGCAGCTCGAGGAAAGGGACGCACAAGGTCGAAGAACATATCAGAAGATTCAGGGAATCTTTGAGAGGCTACATTGATGCGCATAGAGGTTTCGTTAGGCTCTTAAACGAGTGGCTAATCCGAAACATCACGGAGGGAGATGAAACCGAGACCGAGGCTCCTGTGATATTTAGGGTTTGCAGCGAGTGGTTAAGAGAGATTGAGAGTGTGGATGAGGGTAAACTTTTGAGTGCTGTTGAAGAAATTGAATTGAGATTTCGAGGTCTAGGGTTTAAGCAAGTGGAGGAAGAGAAACAGAGGATGAGAACAGAGAGATTGTTTAAGGAGTTGGATAAGAAGACAAAGGAATTGGAGGAGATTTGGGGACCGAAGATATTTTTTCCGGCAGGTGATTCTAAGCCGACGGCGGAGGTGATGATGGGACCGGAGTTGTTGTCTTTGCGTGAGAGTGCGACGCAAGAAAGACAAGAGCATGAGAGAATTATGTTCGACTTAAACGACACCGTATCGAAGACTGTGCAAGAGTGTTTGGTTCCTGTCTTTGAGGCTTTGGCGGATTTTTGTTTTAGTAATTTGAAGGCATATGAGAACATTAGAATCGATTCGACAGAAACTCCATAATTGTGTTAAAATCATAAAGAAAAATATATGTAAAGAAAGAAAATCAAGAATTTCATGTGTTGATGATGATGTTGCATCAGATTTCATTTATTAATAAAATCGAATACGTTTAATTGTACTTCCATCTTAGAACCTTCTTTTTTCGCAGAAAGCACCGGTTATTTCCGGTTCTTGATCATGAAGAAGAGTCTTTGGTTAGTTGTAGGAAAGGATAAGAGTATACTTGACCGGTATATATGACAAGTCAATGCTAAATTTGAATGTGTAAATCAAGTCTTGGGAATGTAAATTGAATTCTTAAAATTATGTGTTCGGTCCCGAAAGATCTGATCAAAAAAATATTAGTTGATCTGAATCTTGATCTTGTTGGTCGAAATTAACTAAAAATTGATTAAAATTGACCAAGTCAATAATCAAGATTCAGTGTTCTTTCTACGAACCCGGTTCATTTTACGTTTGTAGTTCATTCATGCATTCATTTTTTATTTATATTGAAGGAAACAAAAACCCATTATTGGACTAAGTTGTTGAGTAAATTATGGATAATGGCAATAGTTATCCAATGAGGAAGAGATTTGGTTGGATAATTATCGTTAGTAATCAATAAAAATAGAAGGCATGCAGTAGAACGGGCAGACCAAGTGGAATATTCTGTCTACCACATTTTAAATTTCAATCAAGATGTTAACAGGTTAATGTCTTCCAATAAGCGACAAAAAATCTGGATTAAAATAATTCATTATCGCACCCAAAATAAATAAAGAAAATATCCTTCTCCATTATAAATCACTATGAACTTGTGAACGTGTTATTTTCGAGACTTTTGTCACCTACCTCCGTCGATGGAAAATAACTTATATTTGTCTCAATTTTGCTTTAACATGTAACATTATCCTGTGATGGTGATAAGTAATTGGTATATTATAGTATATATATAAATGTTTGAAGCCCTTTAACAAAATATATATATATATAAATGTTTGTTCTTTCTTCTAAAATATTGGTATCTCTAACGTCTGATCTTTTGTGTTTACTTATTGTCCAATTAAACAACATTGTAATTTCACGTCACTTTCGAACTTCGATTTGAAGAATGCGTCTTTTATCATTATGAGACAACGCGCTATCTATAAAACGTTTTCGAAATTATGATGTTTAGATAAAAGGTCAATATTTTATTGTCTGCACAAATCGTCTTCGGTATTTTCTAAATCCAAAATCGTTGAATCCGCTGAAAATTCAATAAAAGGATCCGACTGAAAGAACGAAAGCACTTATTGTGACATTGTTGGTGTCTCCATAACAAAAATTCAAAGATAATATAAATTATCAAATGATATCTTCTCTTCAACATTTTCTATTTGTTTTTGTTACCAATTGAAACTTCAAACAAATACTAATAAAAAAAAAAAAATTTCTCTCTCAACTGATGAGTTTCACTTTCAATTCTAGGATAGGAGATCAAAACATAACTCAAACGTTTCCAAAATTAACTAAATCCAACCGACCAAATCTCTCGCGTATTTTCAGTGTGATGAATGAAACTCAAAAGGAAATACACTAAGAGATTTTTAAAACTTTCCTTGATCAATGGAATCTTAATGTCACTTGCATAAGAAAGTCGCAGAAACTTCATATTCAAAAGCTACTTTTATTTTTCCATCAAAAGAAACAGACGAAATTACCCTCCTCTCTTTCGCTTTTCACACCATGCACCTCCCGTGTGAACAGTCACATCCCCAATTAAAAGACATTTATACCCTTACGTGACCTTCCAAGAAGAATCCAAACAACTTGAAAGCTTCCTTCGCCATTACCTGTAGCTTAGTTGTCTTCCATGGATGTTCCTTCTCGGAAATCCCAAATTCTCATCCCTTAGTATATATAATAAAATCCATCTCTCATTTCGATATCATCAACCTCACAACACAAACACCCATCTCTGATCTCTAAAAAAAAAACAATCAATTTCTCCAAAATGGCTTCTCCTAAATCATCAACAAGACCGACCCAGCAAAACCCAGAACCCTATTTCCACGATTTCTTCCCGGCGATGGCCGGGAATCTCGGTGGAGAAGGTCTAATCGATGAGCTCTGCAAAGGATTCGAGCTCCTGATGGACGGCGAAAGAGGAGTCATCACTTTCGAGAGCTTACGGCGAAACGCGTCGGCGGTTCTCGGGCTCGGAGATCTGACGGACGACGATGTGCGGTGCATGATCAACGAAGGGGATTTCGATCGGGACGGTGCGTTGAACCAGATGGAGTTTTGTGTGCTCATGTTTAGGCTTAGCCCTGAGTTGATGGAAGCTTCACGGTGTGTTGTCACGGAGGCGATCGAGGAGGAGTTTGGTGTTGATCGAACGCACCGGCATTGATAGAGAAACCTTCTCTGTGGAACAGAGAGTTTGACTGATTTGTTTTTTTTTTTCATTTTAACAAAATTCCTTCTATGTTCTTTTTTATATGCTCTCTTTGATTTTCCCCTTTCCATTGTTGTTGCAGTTCGTATAAATTGTTGGGTATTATTATAAACTGATATGGAAAATCATTTAGAACAAAGAAAATGCCAAAGGAAAATATTAAGTCTTAACTCAATTATTCAGAGTTTTCTTTTCTAGAGGCAACTCGATGATTTGTCATTTGTGTATTGGAAGTTGCTAAAAATAAAATATATACTTTATATCAATATATAATTTGTCATTTTAACAAAATTCCTTCTATGTTTTTTTTCGTCAAAAAAAAAGAAAATCGTTAGAATAAATGCAACAAATTTTAGACGATTTTGCGACGACAGAAAAAATGAAACACAACCATCTGTTTTGTTCAAATCAAATATCATAAAATTATTGCGAAAATCATTTATTTGGCGCATAGCGCGAATCCGAACCTAATATTTCTTACAAAAATTAAGTTTCCACAACCTTCATCACCTTCATCTACTTCTCTTCATCTTACGGAGGTTTAGGTTCGGATTCATGTTACATACTAACGATTAATGTTACATACTTGCATGCATAACAATATGGATTGCAAAATCCTAAATGGGGTTGATCTAATTAGAAAAAGGTATAGTAAGTATATAACTTTCGTCGGATCCGAAGGAGATCGAAGTAACTTTCAGTAGTCGAAATTTTTTTTAAACATATCTTCGTATATAAAAAAAATAGTGGCTAAAATGATAAACCTTTGTAACAAACGTCTAAACACATCACTCAGCAAAGACCACATGTAATTATTAGTGTGGTTTCCAACTTTCAACTACCTGATGATATTTCTACTTTTCATTAGTTAATTTTCTTTCATAAAGCAAATATGGTTACACCTTACGACGGATTTATCATGTAGCCTAATGCGTGTAGCCATGCAGTTCCTGAGATCCAGCGAAAAAGATCAAATCATGCATGTACGTATCTTAAGCGACACTTTGGTCAATAAAGCTATATAAAAAGGCCGGTTACTTTGTTTACACGAAATATGAACAAAATTAGGGGTGAACTGAACATTGTCAAAGTAATGGGGTGAAAAAGCGAAGCATCCTTAATACACAAGCAACTTTGACATTTTATCATCATTTTCTTTTTTTTATCTTAAACTGTTTAGATTTGAATACTTTTACATCATGTAGTTCGTGGAAATAAAGGAAGGTTTTTGTAATTTTAAGGGATATTTAAAATTATTACATCCAAGTTCCGAGATTTTATTTTCCAAACCCCCCAAGCAGATCTCATCCATTATTGTAGCATTGCTATTAAATTCAAAAAATTGTCCGTAAATATTTGTTATACTTGTAGTTGTAGAATCGTATGCAAAAAAGAAATGAGTGAAATATTTTAATATCTTTGTTTTTTCTGACCAAGTGAATATTTTAATATCTTTAGTTTTTTACAATCAAAACTTACTACAGAAGACTATACATATGTAACCCATAGATACATTATGCAATATAGATGGTCCAAGCCTTCCAACGAATAAACAAGAGATTAAATGACTTTTGATGTTCACATTAAGTAAATAAGTAGCTAACTTTTACTAGAAGTTGACTAATTCGGTCAGTCTAAACCAGTTTAGAAACATCCCCGTCATTTCCATCCCAACCTCATGGATTCAACATTTTTACCAAAAGAATTAAAATGGATTCAACATATGTAAGGTTCTACTAGCGAAGACCACTGACCACATACATGTAATATACAACAACATATATACATGTATTCTATAACACCAAATTTGTAGACTGGTTGTCCTAGATCGATCGGATTCTATATAATTTGCGCATAAATTTAGCTACTGTGTATGTATTTGTACGTATATTCTATGATCCACATATATACACTATTGTGTTGACGTTATAGATAATCGCTTTATGTGCTTTCATAAATAAGGATGGTGTTTTACTATTTAAGAATTCATCCCAAGAATTAAACTAACTAAACAACAAAACGAACCCAAATTCAATGTTCGTTTGATATCCATATATCATATGTCGACGGTTTTCAAGTAGTTGGAAATGAAACACTCGAGTGCTAAATCCATAATTATTCAAACGAAGAAAAAAAGATAATGCTTTTCGATACTAATTTGATAGGATGACCGGCCAAAATCAAGTCCAAATTTATTTATTAGTTCTGTCTTGTATCTATTATTTATACTCAGTAGTATTTTATTTTGACGATTCAGTAGTAATATCTATCGTCAAAGAATGTATATTTCTTATAGTTTATATACTATAGTCGTAGGTTTGTGCGTTTATAAAGAAAATTAAAAGTCAAAAAAGAACAAAGAATAATAAATGACGAGAGGGATGATGCAAGAGCTTGAAGTCGGAATCTATATTGGATCGGGAGCCGTCGAGAGAAAGAGATCCAATGGCTAGATTGTCTTCGTCGATCAAATAATCGGACGGACATGATTTGTCGACCCTACCTTCGGTCAATTTAGCACCTACTTGGTTGTCTTCATGGGGCTCTCGAACCATATTCGTTGACTTATTCTCTTCCTCAATTTCAATTCCTTCTCCACAAATATCTCAACCGATAGCTACATTCTAAAAATTATGAATTTAAATTAGTTGTGGATTGCATTTGGTGATAAAAAGCAAAGATTGACTGATTGGTTTGGTAAAAGAACACTAAACGATAAATCATAGTATATATTAAACAATAAGCTTATATATTTAACGTTTTACAGATTAGAAACATAAAACTTACGGGAGTTTTTTTTTTATGTGGTACAGATAAAACTATTATCATGATCTCGAATATCTCCTTTTTTTAACATCGATCTCATATATATATATATATATATATTTCATGAGTACAACTATTATCTTTGTGTATAAACGTCTTAGGGTACGTACATATAAGAAACTCTATCCCTAGTAACATAGTTTGTGAAACTGTTCACTATAATCGCAAGTAATTAAATTTGATTTTTTCTTACCAAAAAAAAACACGATTCAGACTACGAATCTTTTAATCTTCACTTTATATAGTAAAAATACTTGTATGCTCTTTTATAATATAGTACTAGTTAATCTTTGCAATACATTTAAACTTAAGAGCTATAGTTGATCTTTAAATCAAAACGATATATCATTCATGGACGGCATTATAGTTCAATGTATTTTACAAACTTTTATTTATTTTAGTCGAGTTAATTAACATTTTTTGTATTCGTTATTTAAACATACACAACTAGAAATAGTTAAACACCATAATTCTTGTTTTAAAAAATGACATCTTGTAAGCAGATAGCTGTTTCTTATGTAAATATATAAAATTAAAAACAGTTTTGAGGGAAAACGAACATGATGATGATGATGAGCGTGACAGCAACATATCATCATTATTATGTTATTTTAATCATTTAAAATTTAAAATAAAACCAAAGTTTTTAATTTCCCGCACCAACCCCACCTTTCTTTTTCCCTATCCAATACCAAGCCAGGTGACGAACGACGGCGTTTTAAATTGACCACGTATATAACCCCTATAATATCCGTCAAACTCAGAATTGCCCCATTAGTTTTGTTTCTTTAATTGTTAGCTACTGTATGATCAGAGGCATAAAGAAATGACATGATCATTCTGTGGTTTCCAATAGCTTTTACCAATAATATTAATATGAAAATAGTGATTTATGTATAAAGTTCCGATGCTATGCAAATTTAATTACGAATAGTCAGTTCATTGTTTTTAAGTTAAATCAAATGTTTTTTTTAATATTCTTTTTCAAGTAGTTTCTAAGGTAACTGATCACATGATCAAAAGTTAATAGGACAAAAAAACAATTTTAGTAGCTAATCGATCTGTTTAGAAAATCATTAATGGGTGGTTAATATACAAAATACAAAACAAAACTATGGGGTGAGATTTTAAATTGACCAAATATATAGGGTGTTGAAGTTGATGTAATTAAGAGTTTCACTGGAAAAGAAAAAATAAGTTTGGAAAAAAGGATAAAGAACGCAGATCATCCTTCACCTTCCCCTATAAATACGCTTTCTGCATTTTCGGATCGTTGAACATATAATCTATTATCCCAAAAAGCATTAAGAGAAAAATATTTTTGAAAGAAAGCTTCGGATATTCATCAGAGAAACGAAAAACTATTTCGATGGCGACCAAAGTGTATATCGTGTATGTGAAATTTCTATTTCTGTTTTGTTTTTCGGGGAGATTTATCGAGCTATAATCTTAGTCTGTTCATGCTTCTATTTCTGATTCACCGTATCGACTTGATTTAGTGTTGATCGAAGAAATTTGATGATCTGTTTTCTGCCTTTGCTGTTCAGTGAGTGTGTTTCTTCCTTTTGAATTCGTGTTGCGGAATTTATATAATTCATAATCAGAATCCCGGGAGATTCTGATGCGATGGTTCGATTTATGATTTTGCTTGTATTTTTGGGTGAAGGATTCGCCTATATGTTGTTTCATTGTTCTTCTTTCGATTGATCTCTGGTACTGATGTCTGTCGATTCGGGATTGGATTTTTTGGGTTATTTTCACGGATTTTGATTTAGCTACTTGTGAATTTGCTTGCTGGGTTTGATCTCAAATTGACTTTTAGTCTCTTGACATTTGCAGGTACTACTCTATGTACGGCCATGTGGAGAAATTGGCTGAAGAAATAAGGAAGGGAGCTGCTTCTGTTGAAGGCGTTGAAGCCAAACTATGGCAGGTGAGTTGCTTACTGCTTACTTCTGTAACTCTGTTGATGAGCTACTGTGGCTTTACATTGTCAATTTCAGAATCTCAAATTGACTTTATGTTCCACTGAGAAACTATGTTAAGGGATATTGGTTGCTACAAAGTTCTTTAAACACTAGGATTTGAGTCTAGAAAGTAGTTTTGGATATCTGGAAGAAAGGATAAGACTTTTGTAACATTAGCTTCCACCATCCTTGGGACCATTCTTGATTTTGGATTCTTGACTGATGATCTCCTTAGCTTAGCAAGTCTCAGTATCAAAGAGATGCTAATTTTGTCTAGGTCGTTTTCTGCTTCACTGACTTGATTTGGATCAAAGGACAAGTTTCTTTTCTGGACTCTGCTTATCGAAGTTTCGGTTCTTGTGTTATTCTTGCTGCGGATCCTTCACAATTACCTGTGTTGCAGTGTTTTAGCCGGCATGTTGTGTGACACAGTAGTTTCCAAATCACAGTTTCCCATTAGGCTTAGCTATACAAATCAAATGTGAATCATTTGAACCTGATGGGATTTGTTGTCGTCCCTCACAGGTACCCGAGACGCTTCCAGAAGAAGCACTCTCCAAGATGAGCGCACCACCAAAGAGCGAGTCCCCAATCATCACACCAAACGAGCTAACCGAAGCCGATGGGTTCGTCTTTGGATTCCCAACAAGGTTCGGTATGATGGCTGCTCAGTTCAAAGCCTTCTTGGACGCAACCGGTGGACTCTGGAGGACTCAGTCACTCGCCGGTAAACCGGCCGGTATCTTCTACAGCACTGGCTCGCAAGGTGGTGGCCAAGAAACCACCGCGTAAGTTCCTTCTTCTCATCAAGAACAAGAAACACTTCACACCATCGTCTTTTGCCTATGTTATATCTTATAAACGATTCTTTGTGGTTAATCTATAGATTGACGGCGATAACTCAGCTGGTGCACCACGGGATGGTGTTTGTCCCGATCGGTTACACATTCGGTGCTGGAATGTTCGAGATGGAGAAAGTGAAAGGAGGAAGCCCGTATGGAGCTGGAACATTCGCCGGAGACGGTTCGAGGCAGCCAACAGAGCTTGAGCTAGCGCAAGCGTTTCACCAAGGCAAGTACATTGCAACCATCACCAAGAAGCTCAAGGGATCTACTGCTTAAGAGCTTTTTATAAAAAAAAAAGATTACGGTATCAGTAAGAAGAAGAAAGCAAAAAAGAAAGACCGGTTTGGTTCTGCATTTTATATGAAATTCATATATATTCTTTATATTTGAATTTGGGGAGTTTTTTTTTTCGGGTTTAAACTACAAATGATATGATTTCACAGCAATAATTCTTGTCTTGGTTTTACGTATAATGATTTGTACTTGTGTTTCACTCCAAACAAAAGATGCGTCGTCATTTTATTAAAATTGTATTATCTGGTTTAGTTAACCTTTGTTAGAGCTGTTTACTGAATACAAAGTCATTAATAAAAATAAAATTGGAAACAAACACGTTCAAATTTGGCTTTACAACTACATACAAAAGCAAAAGCATTCTTCCTTCCTCCAGTAGTTCAAGATTCTTAAAATCGCAATCGAACTCATAAACTGCATCTAGTTTGCTCAAATCAGTTCCCACTGGGAAAGCAACATTTAGTGTGGCCCAGTAACGTTCCATTGCTACCACATGTGGCGGCCCAAATAAAAGTCAAAAACTAATGTTGTATTGTTAGTAATGATGAAATGATATTATTGTTGCTGTGTTTGTTTCTAAAATGGGTTTCAGCACTAAAAGTATTATTTACTATTTAGTGATGATGGGATTAGGTTGAAGAAGATAAGGCCACTTGTGATATGATGGAAATTTTTATTAACCTGTAATATGCTTATCTAGGATTTCATAGATATATCATATTTTAGCTTTCCAAGTTATGACAACCTCTTGCAATACATTGAGTTCTGAGGTAGAGGGGTGCCTTCTTGAACCAAAAGGAAAGAAGATGGAACAAAGTGTAAATTTTCATTTGTTGTGGGGCTGTTTCTTGCAAAACCCCTGTAATTTTCACCAATTCTGTATCAATGATAAACAAATTTAACTAACTTTTCTTGGAAAGTTAGGATGTTCATAATGTTGATTTTTTTCTGGTTAGAAAAGATAAATATATTACAAAAATAAAATAAACATATTCTAATTTAACTACAAACTTGGTTATATTATTCTGTACCAAAATTTTCTACAATTTTACTAATTTTACTTTCATACGTATCTAACAAAATTGGATTAAATCTAAATTGACTAAAATCCTAATTAACTACTCAGAAAAAAAATTGTGAATGGTCAATTAGTATATAGGATTAGAGAGCCACATTTTTAAGTTTCATATGTTGTTTATAGCCTATGTGATTATGTTTTCTTGCTAAGTTTTAAATTCAAATCACCACGAACGTGTAAAAATTCTCTTTTTAATCACAATCTAAAGTTGTCCAGGTTTCGTACAAAATTCAAATCACCACAAATTTATTTATTCTTTATATATGTATGTGAAGTCAGATAAAAGAAAGTTATACATGTATAAATATGTGATAAAAGAGAAGTAATCGTAATTAAAATTATGTATTTAAATCAATTAAATAATCGATGTAATCAATCATTTTGGTTAACATCATTTAAAAAATGATATAAATTTTATATCAGTTAAAAATTTAAAACTGATGTAACTAACTTTTTAAGTAAATTAAACTATGAATTTAAAAACAAATTTAACTAACGTACGACAAACAAATTTAATTTAAGTACGAACGGACAAATAAGAGTAAACTACAAATGAAAATATTTTAAACAAACAGACGTGGAAAAAAAGGAAAAGAAAAACAGAGATAAAATTAAGGCGATAAAGACATTTAGACTAAAGAGCCAGGTCACCAGACACTGTATATTAGTTTACATTACTTAAATAAAATTGATATAAAATTATGTATTTAAATCAGTTAAATAATCAATAAAATCAATAATTTTGGTTAACATCATTTAAAAAATGATATAAATTTTATATCAGTTAAAAGTTTAAAATTGATGTAATTAACTTTTTGTACTTTGTCCCACATCGCTATTTGATAAAAAATGAAAGAGAAAACGTGTCTATATATATCAAAACTTAAGTACCTTATATTTACATTTACTAACCAATAAAATTAATTTCGAATTTTTTGAAATATTAAAAAATTATTAATGCATAAAATTTCGGATTAAAATAATAATATTATTATAAATATATATAAAAATAATAATAAAAATAAATTAATTTTAACATCTGAATATAATCATAATATTAAACTAAACTAATTTTAACATCATTTATTATAACTGTCACAAATACTAATATCATTAATAAAAATTGATGCAAATGATAACATCAGTTTTTTTGTAATTGACACATAATGATATCGATTTCAACAATATCAGTTAATAGCTAACTGATGTTAATTATTTGCATCACCATATTTAGAGTCAGTTTTACAAGTGATGTAAAACCTGTTTGTATCAATTATAACTAATACAAATATTTAAATTAGTGATACAATACACCTGTTTTTTTGTAGTGAGTGAAGATGCCATTTCTAATACATTCTTTTAATTGTTTGCTTATTTAGTTTTAAATTTTAATTTATTTAGTTTCGAGTAAAATGATGAGTGTTAAGAAATAATATAGAAATGCTTCTTCAATAGAAATACTGAAAATCATATCAAATCTTGAATTTCTAGTAAATACACCAATAAATAAATTGTGTTTACCAAACTGGAATCCATATTTGTCCACGATCAGCATGTTAAACCCACCATACTACAATATGTGTCGACCATCAGTTTCTATTATTGCATAAACATTACAATATTTTCGGTTTGTTGTAATCTTTCTAAAAAATGGTTTCACTTTCTATCGTTCTACTACAAGATTAGCATTAGCAAACGTCGATCTATGAACTTTGATGAGAACACAACCGTCGTTATCATCATGGGCCTCACGGCCTCTCTCATTCCTAAGAAATATGTAGAAAAAAATGTTATCCTTTGTTAAGAATAAATGTCTGCTCAAGGTCCTAATGCATCTGTAACTGATTTGCTTCCGTATATCTGTTTCTTCTCCTACCTCCTCTCTAGTGTATCCTTTCTCCTCTCTATGTTTTCGCGTTATCATTTGATTTCTAGTATCCTTCAGTTTCATGAATTTAAAATAGCAATCTTTTAAATCTGTTACTATTGCATGCAACAATAAACATTGATGGGTCGCACATCAATTTAACTATCTAAACCGTATTAAACAAACTTCGAATACACTCGTTTAATTTGGTAGCTTCTCTTTCTTGCTTTCACTACATAACTAGAGGAAATAAAGAAAACCTAAACCGTATTAAACAAACTTCGAATACAATCGTATAATTTGGTGGCTTCTCTTTCTTGCTTTCATTACACAATTAGAGGGAAATTTTTTTTTTAGCAAAAGTCTCCAGTTGCCGTGGACTAACCAATTTGATTACTATATTAATTACAAACTACGACAAAAGAAGATGTATATTAAGATAATATTGGCAACGAGAGACACACAAACATTGCATAGTGTTATGTTTGTTGTTTGCGTGTCACTGTATGTATATTAATGTAGGTTAAGTATACTATACATATATACATGTATCTTCCATTGTTTGAAACAGCCCATGATGAGGATTTTTGTAGTTATATACTATTCGGATAAATAACATTTATACTCATGAGTTATGATCATCATGTGGGGAAAAATTAATATAATTTGAAATTGAAGACAAAAAGAAGTGAAATGCAGAACACATCATACAATGTCGTTTTACTTCTACAGTACTACTGGGCCAAGATATCACGTACACCGAGCCACAGTGTAAGCCCAGAAAGGGAACAAAGCTTTGATGTACCACACGTGCGGGATACCTAATGGGGTCGGTCAAAAGTCAACACATTTTTAGCCACACGTGTTAGTATATGTGAGCGATTGTCGGATTGGCCACGTGACAAATCCAGCAAATAACCGACACTCGGTTTGTTTCATCTAAAGTTTTCTATTTTGTATACCAAATCATTGAAGTTCTCGTCATTCTCTTTGTCGCCCAAGAAAAGGACTGTTGACATTTTTGGATTGTAAGGTAAACCGAAGATTATAATTATTTTTGATAAATTTCAAGATTTTAATTCGAAAACCATAATTCTAAAACGAAATTAGAATTTTTTTTTTTTTTGAATAAATAAAATAGGTATCTAAACTGACAACAGATATAATATATATTCAGAAAATAGACATAAGATAAGAACAAAAAATAAACAGACAACCAATATAAGTCTAACAAAATATTTTCCCTAGTAGGCCGTAATGTATTTGTATAGAATATGACATCATATGATAAATTTCATATTTTATGGGGATTAACTCTGTACTTTACTTCATAAAATATATTTACAAAATTAATGGTGAACTTGGGTTATGCTTTTATGTGTTTGTCAGTTTCAATTTGAGTTTTCTAACTAAAACATATAGTTTTTCTAAATAATGTCAGAAGCCACTGTGATTTGTGAGTATTGTCTGTTTTTTTTCCTAGCAAAGAAATAAAATAGTAAAAGCTGGTTACAATAACATTTTTGTCATATTGTTTTATTTGAAATTGTTTTCTTTAGTAAGATTGAGCCCGTTCTATGTAAAGAACAATTTCAGGCCAGTTTGTGGTCTCTGATGGTCACACAGGGAACAATTGTTCTCGCAACTTGGCCAAAATTCGTCATTTTATTTATTAATGGTTACTTCCAAGATGATCTGTATATTCATATAGTATATGTGAACTATTATAATGCAAGAAGAATTTATATTTATGTATGCTACTTCTGACGTTAATGCGGATCAAAGTTGATAATATACGTGCTCGAGTTATATAATAATAGCTTGAAAATGCAAGACATTATTATATTACGTACACAACATAAAATGTGGGATCTACATACATATTATTTAAATAACTAAACTATATCATTAAAGACGAAGAAAAACTATTTTTGGATCCTTGAATCTTTGACGATTCTTGTTCCTCTGGATGGTATATATATGGAAAACTATAGTTTACTATGAAAACGCATAACAGTCAGAAATTATGGCTATCTAATGATTTCTAATGCTTAATTGCAAGAAAAAAGTAAAAACAAATTGGATTAAAGAAACATAAACTGCCTATGTACATATGATTAGGAGCTAGGCATATTTTTAAACGAAAAACAGTAAAGCAAAATTAAAATTAAGATTTAAAATTAGACAGACAGACACAATGACTAATCACTTTTCTCGATACTCATCTGGTTACAAAAAAAGTTCAAATAGGAGTAGAACTTCTAACTCATGGAGAGTCTCTCTTCTTCCTCAAAGTTTTCTCTTTAGTTACTTCCCCATTGCTTGTGACCAGGGACCCATTTTGGACACTTGGGGCTGAAGTAACTCTTAACAACCCTAGAGTTTAGAAGCTCGATGATCGGAGCAAACTTCACACACCTTGGTGTCTTGTACTGATTGATTGATGCCCCAAGGCTTATCGCGTAATCCATGAGCTTATCGAAAGTCCCTGACTCCACTAGCTTGATCTCCAACGGTCCAATGGACTTGTCACTGGCCCTTCCTTGTCTATACACACTGTTAAGTGATTCCTCTATGGTGAAACAGCAATCCTCGAAGACCGATGGAGGAATCGGTGTGTTACCGTTCAAGCAGAGCTCCCAGAACAAGACATAGTGTCCCGGGATAGATGATGTGTCTGCATAGCTAGTGTACTCGGAGAGTGAGGCATCAAACGGAACAAGGTGTGTTACCGCATTTTTCACTGCGTTTTGAAGCTCAACCTCGTCGGTTTTGTCTGCATCAATGCTTAAGGCCACGTTCTTGCGGCATATGAAGCTAAATTGAGGCGCATTGTTTTTGAAACCAGCCACTTTTAGGATATCACCTACTCTGTACCTGTAAAGTCCTGTAAAGAAAATCACAAAACAACACAAGATTCGGAATTCAAATATTATCTAAAGCAAACATCATAACATTTTCAAGATTTTAAAACCAAATTAATCAAATATGGTTGTTTTTTTTTACCGGCATAGGTGGTGACGACAAGCTCATACTCCTGACCAAGCTTGACATCAACGAGATCAACAAGCTCTTGTTGTTCTTTCTCAGTGAGTGCTTTTCGAAGATTGATTGAGCTAGTGACTCCACTATTTCTATGAACAGGCAAGAACTCGAAATAGGCCATGGTTGGTATGAGAGTGTAAGAGACCTCACTTGGTTGGCAAAGCGGCCTGAGATTCACACCGAAGTAGCACTCCGAAGAAGCATACATCGTGCATACAAGAGGCAAACCATTGCTGTAATAATCCAAAGTAGGAATATACTGTGACATTGTCCCAGTCACAATCACATCCACATACTTGGTGTTTGGCCAAAGTCTAGTGATGATCCCTTGCCAAGAGGTCTTCCTGCATTCGGACTCGACGAAATCCGCAAGTTTCGGATCCGGTTTAAGAATCTCACCGACCGCCTCACGAACCGAAGGGTCTGTTATCTCAGAACTGAGAGTACCGGTTCTAATGTCACGGGCTAGGTCAGGCCAATGTTTCTCAAGAAATTTGATGGCTCTGATGAAACCAGAGGCAAAGACAGCACCAACACGAAGAACCTCTTTGTGTTGGCATAGACCACAGAGAATTTGAGAGTACATGCTCTGGTAAGAGTCAGGACAAAGGATGGTTTGGTTTGGGCTTGTGTAGTTGGTGTAAGGATCAAAGGGTCTGTTTTTGAAGTGAGAGGATTTGTAGTAACTGGTTAAGACAGGACGAGCAGGGAGACCACCTGGTGTTTTGGATTCGGATTTGATGAACAGAAAGTACATTCCTTTGCCTTTATCAAGACCAGGAACAAACTGGTTCATCACAGGCATCAAAAGACTGTAGAGAAGTGATCTTCTGTCTAGCTCCTCTTCGATTGTTGGCATCAGTTTCCTCTCTCCACCAGATGTTCCAGAACTGTTGACACAATTAACATAAATCCATGTTAGCCTCCAAAATTTTGATTTTTTTTTTTTGAAAGTTATCAATTTTTTTTCTTCATATCAATGATTTTTAAAAAAAGTAAGACACAGTTTGAGAATTTGCTTTTCCTTTTTTTTTGATAAAGGTTTTAACAGTGAACGGATGAGAAAGTCAAAAACTTTTCAAATACCCATTAAAACCCAAGACTGACCCAATAAAGATTCGAATCTTAAATCTTAGCCAAAGTGATGAAACAGAGCAACAAAAACAGAGGACAAACCTTGTGAGGAACTCAGAGATGGGGTTAGAACAGAGGATTTGAGATTTATCTCCGTTAGCGATTCTGTTGATCTCAGGCTGAATATCTTCGTAAGTTACGACAGGCATGACGTGTTTGAAAGTCTCGCGGTCGGTTCGTCCTTCGAGCCCGTGTCGTTTGAGGTACTCCACGTCAGCATTGCGTGAAAGGATCTCTTCAAGAACTCGTCTCTGGACATCATCAGCGTTCGTGGTCACTTCCTCCACGAATTGGAGCTTATTCTTGTTCTTCTCCGCGAGAATCTGATCAGAAACCTCCAAAGCTGCGATCTTTGGTGCCTCAGGCATCGTTTAATTTTTTTAAAAATTTCTTTTTGTGTGGGTTTAGAGATCGAATGAGAGAGCTTAAAGAAGACTAAAAATGGTGAATAAGCTTGATCTGGATTTTAAGCTTCAAGGGTGTGAGGAAGAATGGAAGAGAGATGGTTACTATATATAGAGGGAAGGAGGAAGAGGGTGACGAAGAAATCGAAGGGTATAAAGGTAAAGTAACAATATGTTATATCCAGGATTTAAGTGAACGGCTTGCTATTCGTGTTTAATTGGATTTAAATTATTTAATTTCGTTTGATTACAAAAAGTGGGATTATAACATCTTTTTTATTTTGGTCATGGTCAATACCCGTACTGGCTTCAAAAAAAGTTTGTTAGTAGAATATTTAAATGGTCGTCACTCAAACTATATAGTACTCTTTAATTCGCCCACTTTAGTGTCAGCTAATAAAATACATTTTAGATGGTCGACTTTTATTTTACTACATTCTCGAAATTAACTAAACAATTCTTTTATATGAAACGATCATACAACATGTAATATAATAATTCTACTAATACCATTTTTATGTCATGACTTGGATGGAAATCCGATAGAATGTGTATTATTATACACACACACACAAAAATGAAGTCGACGACAATAAATTTGAGAGCAAGTTAACTCGATAAAAAACTTCTTCTATAGAACTCGTAAAATATTGAATCATGTTAGTTAGTTATATATGTTTTTTTTGTGTGTGTGTGTGTAACTTAGTTATATATGTTTGCCCATTTGTTTATTGTGGTACCAGTATAGTGTAATTTTAGTTTACGATATCGTTTTGGTTTAGCTTTTTTTATTTGTTTAAACAAAACAACAAAAAATTGAGACCAAATAAAATCATTTGTAATGTCGTTTGGTTTCGATTTTATATAAATACCACTTTGTTTTACACTAAACTGGGTTTCAGTTTTCAATAAACATTAGTTCGATTTCATTTTAAACTTTTTGATTTGATTTGGTTCGGTTTTTCCTCTTGGAATATGACGGTAAAAACTTAAAGCAAGAGAAAATTACATAAGTAACAAATAATAGTTAATCATTAATGTAACAGGAACGATCGCTTACGATCAAACTTATGAGCGATACAAAAGGGCATAAATGAGGGCACAGATTTTATAACGGGATTTACCCGGTTAACCAGGACCGAGAAACCGGCAATATCCGGTTAATCCGCAGTAGTTTCTAACGGAGTTGTCCCACAAAATACCGGCAGCAAACTCCTCCAAAGCCTTTTCTAAAGCCCTAAGCTAAACACATCTTCCGTTTCCCGGTACACACAAAAAACGGCGTTCACTTTGAATTTATCGCGCTATTTTGAGATGTTTCTGGTCAATGTATCGCGACGAGGAGAATTGGAAACCCAGAAGTATTACAAGAGATGGGGACCATTACAGCTGGACTCCATTGTTATTGGTTGACACGTGTACGTGGTGTTATACTACTAATTTGGTGCCTTCACGTAGTTTATTTTCATGCGATTTGTTATAATTTTGATCATCCATGAAAATCAAATGAGTATAATCAACATAATTTGTTGGGTGTGAACACCTTATGTTTTCTTCTAGATGGTTTTATTTGTGTAATTCAAGAAAAAATATTTCAAATATTGGCAAGCCTTTGCTTGTAAACTCAAAATTTGTTAGTGAATTAATTATCTTACCGGGGATACTACTATTTGACCTCACATTATAGATAATAAACTAGAATTAGATACGAGTGTAATATTTAGCAAAGATATTATTCTCGTCAAAGTGTCATCTGCTTTTCAATTTATATTCTTGTTTATCTAAGTTAAATTCTTACTGTTTTTTTTTCTTGGTTTTGGAATGTTCCATTATATATATATAGTGCAAGAAAATTATAGAAGAAGATACTACTGGAATTAAATGACGTTATCTAGCTATTGTATAATAATATAACGCCTACGTAAGGTTAATAGGTTTTGTTTTTGGTTTTATTGTAAAATAATAATTGAAATATCTATGACTAATGAAATCTGCAAGTGTATCATAGAGACAAAGAAAATATGACATGCTTATGAATTTTTTGGAATTCATTTAACAAAATAAGTAATAAACACGACCCGTTTCAAAAATAAAAATTATAATAAACATTTTATACGTAACGTACATACATATGTTTACCCTATGTTTATACGAACACTTATAAAGTACTTTTCCTTTCACAAAAAGTATATATATTCGTTCGTTGACAAGTAAGTTAAAATTTTATTCAGCAAGCAACAATGTTTAATCGGGGAATATCTTCCAAACTCAACATCAGCTGAAGTCACTGATAAATAATAATATTGTATATATATTGTAAAATTATCAATACACGTTTAGCCAAATTCGTAGAAACGTAAACCAATAATTAAAAAAAAAATATCACCAATCAAATATATTTATATCGGGGATTCAAAAACATATGAGGGCTATATGTTCTATAATACGGGTGCATCACAAGTACATAACTAGACAGAGACTCCTATAGATTTTAGGTTTAAAATCGGTGCCTAATTAGCATATGCGTAGACTATACAGCGAACAGGGTAACAAACTTTAATTCCTGTTTGTATTTACAAATCAAATGCTTAGGTAAAAATATTTGACTTACTCAAATTAAAGAGTGAACCCTTCTTGATTTTTTTTTAAATGGCTAAGAAGGTATTCCAACTTTAAACTTAATTATATTCTTGCGAGTTCTTTTTTCTATGCTTAAATGGCTTTGAAATTTATAATACTATTTGAAAAGCATCTTAAAATTCGTAATGGAAACTTCCGTTGATAAACATCACAAGATGACGTCAGCATTCCGGCCTGCATTTTTATAATCCTTTGCCGAGTTTTGGCTCGCAGTCTCCGTTATATCCGTGTATGATCCATAAAGTCATTAGACAATTCCAAGAAAAATTACTAGAACAAGCGAAGATATTTTGAGTAATGACAACAAAAGTTAATACTATTGAGAAGAAGAGGGTTCATCGTTTTTAAGAAATTTGTTGTTGACACGGAACATCCGGTAATGCCACGTGGGAGTTCCCCACTGATAATGCTGAAAATCAGGTAGAAACGGGTGCACCGAGATGGAAGGTAGGACCGCACTCCTTCAGGCCAAGCGGAAAGTACGTGTCTGTAATTATCTCAAGTAGTTCGAGGGCGTTTATGGAATTTCAAAGACATTTTATATGTAAGTAGAATCCGTACTTAGTGATTCTAAGTCTCTATACGTTTCATCGCGACAAAGAGTTTTTGTTGTGTGATAATACGGAAAGGGCTACGAGAGGCACCGACAGATCATTGCAAATCTTTGACTTAATTATCTTTGCCGAAGATGTCAATTTGGTTTTTTTTTCCTCCCAATTTTGTTGATTTTTGTTTTAGAATGATTTTTGGAATTATACATAAAGACATGAGAAACAAGTACACACGAGCTGAGATGAACAAAATGACCCAATGATAGTGAAGGGTCGAATCGCCCGAACCAAGTGATGAGATATTTCTTATCACTTGTTCGTGAGACGACGGGGAAAAAAAATTATTGTAAAGTGTTTAATGTGGTTCTTAACATTTAGACCCCCAAAAGTGTTAAATATTTGAAGTCTCGCCCATGCATGTAATCCTCAACCTAATTAAACCTAATCAGATACTTCGCACGTGATATTGCAAAATCTACGACGACTATATTCTATAGACTATATACAATATCTACGTGTGTTGTATATGTTACTTTTTGCTAATGTTGTCGTTGTATATGTTTATACGTACGTAAACGTACCTAAAGTAAATATATATACATACGCTACGTACGTACATGCAAATCAAAGTTTTCCGTAAACTAAGAAAAAGAGAACAGATAGCTAAAGCTGCTAATTTATGTTATTTAATTACTGGATGTTCGAATAACTTATAATGATGGTGTCACAACGTGCATGTGGATGGTTGAATGTTGAAATATGGCTTTATGGTTTACTTCCAGGGAACAGCACATAGGATATATGCGTTATTTAATTATAACTACTGTTAATTATTGCTTAATTAAATTAAATTTTCATTAATAGCAAATTAGTTCATGGAAACCAATGACGTGGTCCCTAATCGTTTCTTGTTTCCCGATCCCGTGGGCCGTGAGATATAGTCAAAACTCAAAACCCTAGTTATTACTTGTGTACACACTAATTTTCCAGTTCCACACGTCGAAGGAGTGAAAGTGGGAAAGTTTTTCAGTAAATATCCTACTAATTATCGAATCAACTGAATAGAATGAAAATATTTTTATTGTAGACAACTAAAAAAAAGTTTTGGAAATTTTAAAATAAATGTTTGCCAACTCATCAACATTATTTATGTGTATGTGTAAATATGTGTATTATACATTTATACAAAGTGGTAAAAGGCTAAAAGCTACATGCTCAAGGATAATTGGAGAAAACAAATGGCATAATGTATCTAAAAAGGAAAAAAAGACAATACAGATATAACCAAATAAAAAACACAAAAATCTTAACTTTGATACGCTTCATGATTGTTTTTCTTGACAACAAATGTACTTCTTCATTGATTAGTCGAAAATGCTATCTACATCAAGAAATAACCAATATGGTATAGAGAAGTCTTGCAAACGGGAACAATTTTTATTTTTTTCCTTTTTAACAGCTTGAAATGCAAACGCATAGGCTGGTCTTTCATCCGGTCGCGAGACCATTTAACCAGCAATGTTGAATCTGTTGTGAAGAACGAGAAATATATAACGATTATGCATTAGTATTAGATATTTCATTGCCCATATTAAGCTGAATAATCCAAGTCGAAGTGCTGCAATCAATAGAACTATTTTGGAATTGTAATTGCCATCCTATTCCACTTGTCACAACTCACAACTTCAACTGGCGAAAAGCCATCCACCCAACCCAACCTAATATAAGAAATATGACCTAACCTTTCTTGAATTATCCCATAATATTCATCTT